TAGAGCGTGCTTCACTTGGCCGTAGCGTTTCTAGCCTCGCTCTGATCCACGGAGCAACGTGGGGAAGCCTCGCGCAGAGACGCAGAGTTGGATGCCTCCAAGATTCACGCAAAGGCGCTAAGCCGCAAAGAACGCGTTGCTGAGCGATCGTTTGCGGCTGCGCTCATTGCTCATTTCTCAACGACTTTGTCTTTGCGCCTTAGCGGCTTGGCGTGAGTCTTCGCTGCCTACCCTCTGCGCGAGACGCTACGGCAAAACAAAGTACGCTAAAACGACTCAGTTGCCGGCCCGGCCGCTCGCTCCTCGACGAATCGTTTCAGCGCCTCGACGCCGCGCTCGTTGGGTTCTCGACTATCTAGCGTGTTCAAGAAGTCGGCGTGATCGGCATCCGTTAGGTCGCATTCGATCTCAACCAGCTTGCCGTCGCGCACTTCGTGCAACTGCGCCGTATCGGATAAGGGAAATCTCTCACCATCGACTTCTCCGACAACGACTGCAACACGGTTTCCTTGTCGCTTCGGATCACCTGACAGAGATGAATGATTGGCCGTGTTTCCGTCCCGGGATGCGTAAGTATCATCGAGTACTGGATGAACTGATCCGGTGGGGCGGTCGCCGTAACATACTGTGTCGTGTATCTCGAATTGAAAGGCGTCGCTGAAAGCTGGCTTCGCAACGTGCTCGATCCAATCGCAAACGCAACGATCCCCGTCGCGACAATCAGGTGCTCCAAGCGAAACTGTCGGGCGTGCCACTTCCTCGGGTCATCGTTGCAGTAGCCTTTGACGTCGGGTCGTTTGAGCACCCTCAGCGCCCAAAGCATGACGATCGACCAGACGACCATTGCGAGAACGACTGGGATCAACGAGGTTGTCGAAGTCCCGTTCACCCGAATGCTGTTTTGCGGCAGCAACGGGATCGCCATGGCGACCGCAATCCCGACGAACGACCCAATCAGGCTAAAGGCAATCAACATCCCAGCGCAGCCCGGAGCGGATTTCTTTCCCTGCAGCAGCTGCCAACCGGGAACCGCAAACAGGATCGAAGCGAGGTCGAAGCTTAGGCGATCATTGAACGCCGCGTCATAAGCGGCGCCGATGATCGCGCCTAAGCCTATCGTGAGGAGCAGATACGCAACGATTCGCCCGGCGAGTGGAAGCCTCGCTGGCAGCTCGGGGGCGAAGTCATCTCCGGCATCCGGTAACGCGTCTTGCATGCTCAGCCGGCAGGTTCGGTCCGGAGTGGAGGCGCCTAGCGCTACGACCAGGCCCTCGGAAGGAATTAGGAACTACTCCGCGACGGATCGCTACCGGCGTCGACGTCTAGCGCATCGGCGGCGGACGCCACCTCGGTGCGGTCTAGTGGAAAAGGCCCAATCGCCCTTCTGTTGAAGCCGGTCCGAACCGCCACCTCTGGACACCCGTCCAGATCGGCAAAAAGGGCCCTTGCTGAGCGTCTTGCAACCTTCCTCGACCAAAGTGTCGACCCCGTGTTTCGACGCACGAGAGGGCCCTTCCGGGGCCTTAGGAGAGGTCTCTCGAAAACACCGGGTTCTCCGGGTCTCCTCGGCAGCGGGAGACGGGCCGTTATGGGGACGGCACCGGGGCGGGGCTTTGCCATCACGTGAGCCCTCAACCTCGTGCTCAGTACGCCAGTGACGATTTCACAACACGGACCGATCCTACGCGGTTATAGTCATTCCACGGCTCCAACCACGTCTCATCATTTGGGGAGAAGCATCGTGCGATCAGCCCGTTTGGCAGTCTTCTGCGTCGCCCTCCTTTCATCGCCGGCCTTTGGTCAACTGAGCACGTTCTTCCCTCGGAACGGCATGGTCGACTTCAACGCGCCCGGCAGCAATCTGGCGATGGTTGTCGCGGACAGCGACGAGGGGCTTCTCGTCTCACCCTTGTCAGAGTTCGACCTGAACGTCTCGATCATGACCCCGGTCTATGGCGGCGTCTACGGAACCCCTCTCCTTCGGTCCTTGACCGAAGCTCCCCACCAACTCGACAACGGCGACTACGCCGTGGCGGTTGGCCTCGTCCGGTTCAACCCGGCCATTCCGACGTTCTTTGTCTTGGAGAGCTTTCTGCAACTCCGCTTGGCTGGTTCCTCCGCCACGGCTTTGACGGGCGTGGCCGGCACCCCCAACAACATTGGCGATTCCTACACATTCTTGGATGACACGATCGTCTCGCTCGGCGGTCTCGCCAGCGTGGCGACGGCCGAAGGCCTCTGGTCCAGCCCGACGGACTACATCGATTTTTCGCCGTCCGACGCTTTTGTGTTTTCACTCTCTCCTTCGCCGGCCGGCCCCCAGGACTGGATTGGCTCGGTGTTCCCCGAACCCGGAACCGCTTCATTGGTGGCCCTGGCAGTCCTCGGACCCGCCCTAGGCCTCCGCCGGCGTTAGTAGAACTTGTTAGGCGTCAGGCGACGCGGAGGTGACTTTGCTCATCGCGTCAGCCCTCATCGCGTCAGCAAATCGCCTCGCCAACCATCGAGTTCACGTTGAACCGGAAGGAGACGGCGTAGCGTTCTCGACGCGATCCAGGGGCCAGCTTTGCCACTCGCGCCAACCGTCTTGAGTCTCGCCGCCACCACGCGGCTAACAATCACCACCTCGCACGGCAATTGGCCGTGCAGTTTGCGACAGCAGAGTCGAGGCAAATGGCGAGCACCTTGCGTATCCACTGCGCGCTAATCATGAGCGTTGCAATGATGACTCCCTCGACATCATTGGCGAGCTCAACCGCGACCACCTCTTGGTCTGCTATCGGCGCCGCGGACTGGCTCGACGCCGCGAACTGGACGAACGGCGTCCCGGGCGTCACCGATTCGGCCGAGATTTCCAACGACGGCATCGCGGTCATCTCATCCAACGTCAACGGGCCCGACGAACTGCTGCTTGGCGGCGACGCCGGCGCCGGCGCCGTTGAGTTGGCCGGCGGGACCTGGACCCCTCGACTGATCCGCTTCTCCGACATCCCGCTAGCCGACATCAACGGGCCCTACCTCGGCCGACTCGCTATCGAATCCGGAGCCGTCTTCAAGCCGGGCGGCATCTTCGGTGCGAACGGACTCATCGAGCAAAGCGGTGGATTGTTCCAGATGAGCCAACTGACGGTCGCCGGCATGCAGAAGCAGACCGGCGGCAAGCTGGAAGTCGGTTTCGAGTTCACGACCTACCCCGGATCGCGCTTCGAGATATCGGGCAACAGCATCGTCGTCCTGCCTGAGAATGTGTCGATCGGCGGCGACGTCTTGCAGACGGGGGGCCAGCTCGGAGCGTCTTTCAGGAGCAGTCTGTCTACCGGCGTGTACCGCGTTGAGGGCGGCGTCTCACGCCTAGGTATCGCGACGATCGGCGATGGCGCCCGCCTCGAAGTCGCCGGCGGCGAAGTCGTTCTCGACAAACCGTTCGTCACGCCGGCATCCTACGGCGCTATCGGCACGGTGGAGGTGTCGGGCGGCGAGCTCGCCTTGGTCAACAGCATCGAGGTCGATAGCGGGCCGATCCATTTTATAGCGGGGAACTGGACCCTCGATGTCCGAGGCGGCATCGCCAGCCTGCAAGATTCGGTCTTCGACGACGTCTCGGGAGCCGTGCTCGAGAAAGCGCCCGGCACCCTCACAATCTTGCCAACTGGCGTCTCCGAAGACGACTTTGCCGCCGCGTTCGGAACAGGGCTGACCCACACCGCCGGGTCTCCCCTCTTCCTAAGGGTGCAAGACCAGGTCTTCGGCTTGGGAGNNAGCTCCTGGCCCGCGATACGTCGAACGACTCGGGCGCCAACCCCGCCATTGAAGTCCGCAACGGCATCCAAGTGTTCTCCGGAGCCGCAAAGTTGGGCGCCGGATCGATCACGGTCGCCGACCTCGAGAGCGGCCTGTTCTCAGGCGACCTGCGGGCGCGAAACCTGACCGTCGGGACACCGGGATCGCCGGGCCGGTTCGAACAGACCGGCGGCTCCTTTACCGAAGAGGAGAACACCAGCCAATCGCTGACGATCCGCCTCGGCGCCGCGAACGGGCGTGGCGAGTACCGTCTCAGCGGCGGCTCGCTGACGGC